CTCCATACCGGGATAACTCGTTGCAGACATTTGTAATCTTTCCTCTCTTGTATGTGCATTTTTGTATGTGGCACCTTTATTGCCAGCCATCTCGCCAATCTCACGTTCAGCTGTATCACCAATGCGATTACTACCACTTCTCTCAATCTGCTTATCATCCTTCCTCTCTGCGTACTTCTCAGCCATATTCACATCTTCCCTCGCCGATTTTGTACTCGCGTTATACGAACCTCCACTTTGTCGCTTCACATGATTGTCCGCCTCCACATGTAAAAAATGCTCCATCGCATGCTCTGCTTGCGGCTGTGGGGACGGAGAGTCAGAAATCTGCGACACAGCACTGACTAGACTCCTTCCCGTGCTAGTTCGTTGCAAACCATTATCAGAAGATGCCGAAAGATTTCTATTTCTGTGCCACTCTGGGTTATTTTGTGGGGAGGGCGGCAATGGAAAGCGATCAATATCGATATTTTCATTAGTCGGTAAAATTTCATCCGCAGGTAATAGTACTGATGTTTGACCCCACGCAGCTACAGCACCATCATTGGGAGGAGGAATAGGTGGCGTAGATGAGCGACTAGATCGACTATTTCCATTACTGCCATATGGTAGTGCAAGCTGGAAAGGTCGTTGCTGGCCTGGGTGTTCACGGGCAGGCGACCGAGCTAGGATATCTTCGTGACTTGGACAATGAGTGCGAACGGGAGACGTAAATGGTGAACTATGCGTATCTATAGATGGTAAGATTGGAATTCTTCTTTCAGGTGTAACTGTCTGATGAAATGATGGTGATCGATGCAAAAATGAGGAATTAGAATGGGCAAGGGGCGAGACAGGAGATGGTATGGAGTATTGTTGGGATAAATTAGAGAGGGTATCTCCCAGGGACGGAGAATGAGCGTTGTTGATACTGCGTGGATCATAGTTGGTAGGTACTGCCGCCGTTCCATCACCACGCACAAGGTTATATCCTCCTGGAATTGGGACTGAATCATATTGAGGCTCGGGAACTGCGGAAGGTGGGGTACCATGTCGATCAGGACGATGATGAGGACGAGAATGTGAATACTCCTGTTTGCTACCATTCAACTTACTAGAGTTACGAGTCCGTCCACGCTCTTGGTCTGTCTTCTTTAATCGTTGCGTAGGCGTGGCAACAGGATCGGGTAAAGCCTCATGAGATTCCATGGCAAGGTCTGTGTACATTCTAGCCACAGGAACAATCATGGGCCTTCTTCCATCGTCTTCACTTTTAGCATTATCTTTTTCTAGCGTGTTCGATCTTTTTCTAAGCATACCGGTCAATAGTCCACTCACTGAAGGGCGCCTCGGGCGGGGTTCCTGATATAGCTTACTATCCTGACTTGGGTTCTCAGTTTTCTGAAGAGAGGGAGAAGGGGCGAATTTAGACAGAAAATTCAACGGTTGACTTGGTCTTCGTTTGTGGTGTACATTGGCATCCTGCCTAGTTTGAGCTTCTAGTTGGGGAGAAGAAAGAGTGCCACCACGGGGACTAAAACTTGAAAGATCTGTCGTGGCTCTTTTTGGCTTGAAAAGCACTGATCCATCGCCCTTAGGAGAACGTGAGAAGAGACCACTTAACCCAGCCAATCGACCCCTTTTGTCATCCCTCTGCAGTGTTTTGCCCATTGTAGTTGTGGAGCGACCAACTATGTTAGAATTCGGTGTCTCCAATGTAGGATTCGGGTTGGGAGATTTTGGGGTCATGGGGCTCTCGCGGGGACTCGCCATCAGATTGGACTGACTACCAGAATAATGCGCCATCATGCTCTCTCTTCCAACAGGGAAGTCTGATGACTGTTCCCCAGTAATGTCAAAATTACCCCAGAAACCAGACCCTCTCTTTTTCTGCCTACCATCACGCGAAGTAGGAGTGGCAAAAGTATCCATGGGAGGTATTTCCCCATCTCTTGATATAGAACCTTTTCGCTCTCTTGACACAGAACCTCTTCGCTCTCTTGAGAGGGAGCGAACAAAGTTCATACCTCGGCTGACGAGATCTGAGCTACGTCGTCTTCGATGACCAACAGGCTCTTCATTGTTTTGAGAAGGCCTCGCTCCTGAGATTTCGCTGCTTGGCTGACGTGGAGGTAAGGCTTCAGTCCGACCTCTAGGTGCTTGATAATATCCGCCAGGCATATTATGGTCATCTTGGACTTCAATAGCCGGTCCTCCAAACAATTCGGGGTAGCGCTGAGTGGAAGAAGGAGGCGACTCAAATGGTAAAGCTGGTATCATTGGTGGTGGTACATTGCTATCACGACGCTGATCAGAGACAGAACCTCGCCTAGATCGAGAAATTTTGGAGAGACTGTTCCATGAATTTTGACGAGTATGTCCCATGGCTGGATTCGATCGCTCTACATCATGCCCATGGTTTTTATGAACAAATGGATCGGCGACACGAGGAAAAACTGAGAACCGAGGCTGTGTGTTGGTATGAACATTCGGTTTCGAGACTGGAGCCTTGTTCACAATAGAAACATCCGTACGAGCATTTTGCTGTGAAGTAGGATCACTAGTACCTACCATTGTATTCGAATTGGCTACATCTTGCATATAACCGTTCGAAACATCGTCATCGTCATCATCGGATATGGGAAATCTGGTTTGAGGTTTTCTCGATCCAAACTCGAAACCAAACTTGGATGTCCTTCGGATAGGTGGCAATGTCTTGAATGAGGGTTGCCTTCCTTGTTCTTCAATGCCGGGAGTTTTTTGACTTGTGGATTGTATGGGAAGAGGCGCTTGTAATGATCTTATGGCAGTTCGACTTAGTTGATCAGTATTGATTACCTGATCCAGACTTACTCCTCGCGGTCGATTCATCATACTAATTGGAGACCGATTTAATGGCTTCGGGTCTGCTTTATGTTCCATTCTGTCTTTTTCAATAAGGGATGAAGCTGCGACAGCATCTTTTGGCGGCCAACCCGCTTGCTGTTCTGTGGCATTATCACTATTCAACGTTGTACTCATTTGCAGTCCAGCGGGAGCGAAGAGCTTATTTGCTGGCTCGGGATCAGGTGGATAGTAATTAGTTTGCCAACCTTCGTCAAGATGGCCCTCCTTAGTAATATGAGTAGTATTGTCAGCATCCCATGTGGGTTTATACTTACTCATAGGTGCCGGAAGATTTACAAGTTGTTGCTCTTCCGTTCCACCGGGAGCTAAAATCTCACCTGCAGTTTCACGTGACACCACATTCAGTTCCTCCGCGTGTGACGCTTGCGCCTCTCCATCGCTTGCAGGAGCGTCAATGATACCGATCGGAGTAAGCACATCCGATGAAGTTGACATCCGTGATCTGCTGGTTGGTTCGGATGGTAGGTTCTGCTCTGTGTGTTGACTAGGATCGGTTCTGCCTGTTGCTCTCGATAGACTGAGTGCTAGGCCCCATGATGAACGATTAGGGTGTCTCGGCTTGGGAGGGGGACTTGTCTAGAAAAAGGGTTAAACTTAGCGATGGAACACTCATGACGATGGGCCACATAGCAAGGAGAAGAAAACAATTGTGATGGGCTGGATTTTTCCTTAGTCGTACACATCCCGCCATGCGGAATTGGCAAAGCAATAAGCATTCACCCACGCTAATTAATCAAAAAACGACAAAAATTCAAAACAAAACGCCTAAAGACCCCATATCCAACCCAGAAGGAGATGTTAATCTACCTTATCACTACTACCGGCCGCACGAAGCCTGTTCTTGCCCTTTGCCAGTAATCCTTTACCCGCCTGGAAACCTGCCTTTCCAGCTTTACCACCGAACATCCCAGCATGATGGAGGAATTCTTTTCCTTTCGCTTGAACTTGTTGACTTGTAATTTTGGCATGCGCGGGTGAGAAGCCTTGCTGATTACCAGAAGTTCCGGTTTGCCCCGGTCGTGATACAGACGTTGACGACTGTGATGGCCCACTAGCATTCAAATACTGTTGAAAATAAGGTGATTGCATTGCCCCTGATGCGCTCCTTGTATTTCTTCGGGTCGAGCTAGTCGGTACATTTGATGTAAAACCTCCGTAAGATTCATTCACATCAGCATGTTCTGGTTGTTCCGCCTTTAAGGCAAAAATCCAATCGTGGATACCAGAGTCCATGGCTGCAAACCGTTCCCTAATTTCATCAAACGCGTGTACTCTTTCATGGACATCTTTCATCCCTAAAATTTCTTTCCACGTCGGGATCTTTCCCAAATTAGATATTCGATGAGAAGTGGCAGATCCACGTCGCGACGGTAACGATTCATGTGCCGACAAAGGACTTGGAATACTGGCCGGTGAGTGTGGACTGGACCAAAGCGGATCGGTGGAGACATCCAATGTGGAACCAAGCACTGGTTGTTCATTCTCAGGAGTTTGGGTGACTGGATATGATGCAAATTGTGGCTGCTGCTTTTCTTGAGCTAAAGAAACATTTACAGTAGGTGGGGATTCAAGGTAACTGTTACGTAGAGTCGCAGCCGCTGCACCATCTCCAAGAATTGTAGCGTCAGTGGCTAAGGGGGTCTCCCTTTCAAAGCGACGATCGCCATATGAAGGTCCTTCGAAGACTTCCTTCTCCATGTATGGTTCTGGAGCAGCTTGTCTAAGGCCTTCATGCGGCGCATCGGTATCCTCAGTAGGTAGCTCAACATGGCTTTGAGGTGGCTTGGGCATGTCTGGATTCGCTTGGTGTACACTTTCCATGCTCATCTCCCAAGAGAAACGTGTGGGTAAAGGCGGGCGAGTTTGCTGCCGTGACATCCTATGAGAGCTAAGAGGTCGGATTTCCGGCATGTCAATTGGGATAGTTTGCTCCGTTTGTGGCCCGTCTAGAGTTGTAGTGGCTATGGGAGATGAGTGTTCTTCATCGCCTATATCATTCCAATAATCATCATACACATCCGTCAGATATGCACTTTCTCGCGGATGATCCACATTGGAGGCATCTAGCCTTTCGTGCAAATTTTCGTGGGATTGTTGCTCTGATTCTGAAGGTAGGATTGACAATCTTTTGACTATTTCTTTGCGTAGTTTGTCGCTTTGTTCATCAAAAGGACCAGTATCAGTGCTCAGCGTCGGTAGAACTTGAGGTCGAGAAGGCGGAGGAAGGGCTTCATCGGTGTCGATTGCCTCCGCTGTACTCTCCTGCGAAACTATGATTGATTTTGGAAGTATCTCCGAAGCGGCTTCATTACTCTCGTCCCGCTCATCCTTGCTTGATGGGGTGGGTGGAGATTCTGTTGGAACAGACTGAGCAGCGAAATCGGGCCGCAATTGAGCTTCAGGCGAAGCTCTTTGCAGAGCAGGAATTAGTTCCGGATGTGGAGTCATAGCAGAGTGAACATTTCCACTCGCATCTGGTGTTGGCATTGCATCAGATTTAACACTAAGTGTGACACGCGCCGCGTCAATAGACGACTCTGGAAGAGAGTGTTTAGCGGTAGTAGGTGTCAAGTCTTCAGCTGCCAAATCCTGAACTGGGTCATTTGGTATCTGCGGACTTTGTGAGCGAGCGCTCTCTGGCTGGACAGTGCTCGTAGTTGCAGTCGTCGTATACGATTGCCATCCACCCGGTAACTGAGGGCGGAAACTCTCTTCGCGATCAATGGTTGGACGTGTAGGTTCCGGCTCAGCGTTTTCGCGATCAACGGTTGGATGTGTAGGCTCCGGCTCAGCGTTTTCGCGATCAACAGTTGGACGTGTAGGCTCCGGCTCAACGTTTTGAATCTCATCTTCTGCGGTAGGAGATGCAGAGGATATCCAGGCGTGTTCTCCCATGGATATTCTTTTCGATGCGGTCCCGAGATCTGGAGTTCTAGCGGGACTATTACCTGGACTCGGAGTACTGATGTCGCGCCGATGACCTGGAATAAAATTTGGAGGGACTATCTGATCGTTGTGCTCATGTGTAACATTTTGAGGATGGGGTGATGTTGGTTCAACTAACTCCATGATAGCAGGAGTTGACATTTCACGACTTCGGTTGTCTGAAGCTACAGTGCCTGGACCATGACTCATGATAGGACTAATTTCAGTGGTCGCGGTACTTTCACTATCAGATCTCTTCACTTCACTTCCAGTATTGGAGGCTGGGACCGGAGAAACCAAGTTGTCACTGGTACTATCGAATGCTTGGTTGACAACAGACTTGAATCCAAAAGATGGATGACTCCGGAGAGAAGTGTCGTCTGGGGGTTTTGCATAATCTTTAGACATTCGTTCTGGTAGTTCCGCTGAAAGTTCGGCTGGAAGGGCGGCCTCACTATCAACCTTTGATTGGGAAAAGAAGTCAGATCCAAAGGCGGAAATTCGATGTAAGTCTGGAAGTGTGGGGCTGGTAGTTTTGCTTTCAGGGAGAGGGTTTAGTATGTCTCGGTCTGGCGACGGAATTTCATTAGCATTAAATCCTTCGAAGTCATGTTCACTTTTTCGCTCGTTGACAGGTTCCAGGATTGGTGTCAAACGTCTTCCAGATTCAGAATCGTCATTGCCAAAACTACCTTTTCCTCGGTTTCCAGTTCCTAAGCTATCAGAACTCGATCTTTCACGAGTGCCCGCTTGGCCTGGGGAACGTGGTCTGTCACTCGACCTTTCCATATCAATGGAGTCCAAACTAGGTCTAGCCAAATCTGAGGATGACCGTTCCCTTTCTTGCTTTCGCTCTTCAACTCGACGATAGATATCCGCGGGCCTGATAAATGGTAAAGGTTTGGTATTTAACGCACCTGGGGTTGTTGTTGACCGATCTGCAGAGCCGAGGGAGGGTGAAAGAGCTGGACTTGCGGCTGACGGTTTGGCTACTGTTTCCTGTGACATCTGATGGATCCGCTGGGCTTCTGTTCCCATAGTACTCAAGCTGCTCTTTCGCGCCGGATATTTGGTAGTTGGAGCTCCATTCGTTGCACCTTGGGAAGCAGACGGAGTCCGCATGTGTAATGGGGCCGGTACTGCAGATGGCGAAAAATCCTTGGAAGTTTCGTAGTCGCTAAGGGTATTGATTGAGCCAGCCGACAGGATGAACGATTCATTAGTATTTGTGCGAGCCGGAGGGGACATGGGATCATTGTTATATGAAGCTTCCGGCGGCGCGGGATCGACAGACATCAAGGGTTTTCGTGATGATGTAGGAGAAGGTTGTTGCGTAGATATATGCAGGGACGGAGGGCCACTTGGGTCGCGAGTATGCCTTATACCTCCAACTCCCATTTGAGAAAATCGTGTTGCCGGCACATTTGCGGAGCCGGCGGGAGGAGGCGGGGAGGAGGGTTTTGCTGGTTCTTGTCGGATAGTTGAATTCGAAAAGTGCCTCGTCTCATCATCAGCTTCGAAGGAATTCCGTCTACGCAATGCGCTGCCTGCAGAAGCCGTCGGGAGACTGCCATAACTCTTCTGACCCCGTTCCTGAGACATTTCCCTCATGCTAGCAAGTCCCTGGCCTTGTTGACGTAGACCCGTAGGTTTCGAGACTGGTGCAGGTGCCGGATCGGGCTCATTTCCATACGCATTATAAGGATCATATTCATCATCGTCTCCCCAATCATCACCTCCATAATCTATCTTCTTTGCCTCCGCCCATTTCTTTGTCTTTTGTCGATTCACGTTCGCTCGATAAGATATGGGAGTAGTTGAACCTGCAGACATCGGATTCCTGTTGATGTATCGTTTAGTAGAGTCGTATGGTTTTTGTGAGGATTGCAGAAGAAAGCTTACAATAAAGAACCGTTCTTGTCCGAGGTAGTAATATATGGCCTTGCCATGATGCGACACCAAACATTAATTTCTCGCGATCCACGAGAGCATCATATTTTTGACCATGAAATGTGATAGAAAGCTTCAAATTATTAACAGAGAATGAAGATGCGGAAAAAGAAAGGAAGAGAAGTTTTGATTGTTTGAAAAAGAGTAGAGAGTAGGATGATGGGATTGGAATTGAGATTGAGATTGAGATTATGAGTATTAAGGTAAGGTCAAGGTAGTGAGTGGATCGGATACGACTTTTGATTATCGGAAATCTTCAGATGAATGCTGTGGCTGCGTGATAGCCCCCGTTTCTTGGAATGGGGTAAGGGGGCCCTTGATGAGGTAATACCGTAATGAAGATACAAGGAAGGTTATATCAAGGAGGGTTTATATGAAGGAAGGTTTATATGGCGAAAGGCTGAAGATACGAAACTATGAAACCGAGATAAAAAGGTGATACTTTTATTATATGTATGGGTAAGTCTCTATGTGAATCTCGACCCTTTTCGAACTGGAGAGTAGTTGTACTGTCAAGCTACCTAAATGATATGCGCAATGAATGAATGAATGAATGAATGTATGTATGTATATATGAATGCACGCCTTTAACCTTTCTTGAGGCCAAATTGATTATATTTTTACACTTGCACAACTGTACCTTGCTACTCCGTAAATTGAATAGTATAATTTGAATCATGGATATTCTTCTCTCCACGAATCAGCCCAAGGGATTCATTTATATCACTCACTATCTACCTAGGTACCTACCCGATGATGAAATTCTATCCTCCGTACCCACACATAATCGTTGAATTGGAACTCAGCCACAACCTTCAAATGATTCTGCGCCAGTAGTAACGAATGATATGAAAGTATTAATTTCATCACCGAAAGCTTTTCTTAAAATAATTAACACAGCCAACATTTTTGTGGCCTGAGGCATCACAGTCCAAGGCTGGAGTAGTGCATGGTGCAGGTGTTTGCAGGGTGCTTTGCAGAATGTCATTCCCAAGCATCTTCACGCTGATCTGGTTTCAGGCTCATTCAAACACCAAGAACTCCATCCCGAAACACCAGCTGTCCTATTAATGTAATCTATCATTTACTCATCCACCATCAGCAACCGTCTAGGTAAACATCAACTCACATTCAATACACTTTGGTCTTGATTTCCACTTTCATTTTTCAATCTTAATAAAGAGATCGCAACACTTTACTTCTTTTACAGTCCTTGTCACCAAACTATACCATTGTTCGCTGTATTCGATATTCGACATTCCACATTCAACACCCTGTACAAAACCCTAGATTAATTAAATTAAGTTGCGCCTCGAGGTCTACACAGCAATCCGAGCAACAACATCAACCAAAGAAACCCATATCCTCAACCACTTCGAAACCCACGAAAGAAATAGAGGCTAGTTTGCGCTTAACTCACCAATATATCCGTAAAACTGTCATAAACTACTGCAACAAATCATAGACACATCCATACAAACCGCCGCGATGGCCGTCGCATCGATACAGGACCGAACAAACGAGTTCCGATCCGTCCTAACACAAGTACAAAAGAGACAAGCATCATCAAAAGTGGGAGCTCAGAGACAATCACTTCTTTCCGATTCACAAAAGGCCGCTGCAAATGGAGATGCAAATCCACATGGAAAGCCCAGGAGGTCCGAGTTTGCGAGGAAGGCAGCTGAGATTGGGAGGGGGATAACGGGGACGATGGAGAAGTTACAAAAGTTGGCGGAATGTAAGATGAGATTCCTAGCTCTGGGGGATGATGGATTTTTGATGAAATTTAATACTGATCCTATAAATAGTGGCCAAACGAAAAACCCTTTTCGATGACCGACCTGTTGAAATCAACGAACTCACATTCATAATAAAACAAGATCTCTCCTCCCTAAATCAACAAATCTCTAGTCTGCAAAACCTCACCCGCGCCCAACATCCCAAAGCCGATCAAGAAGGCGAACATAACAAAAATGTCGTCTTTATGCTCCAAGGAAAACTCACAGATGTGTCCGCCAATTTCAAAGATGTCCTCGAAGTCCGCACCAAAAACATTCAAGCTTCGCGATCTCGAACAGAGAATTTTGTTTCTTCGGTATCTTCCCATGTTCAACCCAATATTTCACAATCCGCAAGTCCGCTATATAGTACACCCACGAGAGGAAGTCCGGGGCCTGGTCAAGATCTGTTAAGTTTGAATCCTGTGGGAGATCAACAATTGTTGATGATGGAAGAGGCGCAACCGCAAAATGAATATATCCATCAAAGAGGAGAAGCTATAGAAGCAATCGAGAGGACAATTAGTGAATTAGGAGGGATTTTCGGACAATTGGCTACTATGGTTTCAGAACAGAGTGAAATGATTCAAAGAATTGATGCGAATACGGAGGATGTGGTGGATAATGTTCAAGGGGCTCAAAGAGAGTTATTGAAATATTGGTCGAGGGTATCTGGTAATCGCTGGTTGGTTGCTAAGATGTTTGGTGTTCTTATGATATTCTTTTTGTAAGTTTTCCTCCCCTTTTTCAGTACCTTAGGACATATGAGAAACGGCTAACATATGAATTGCAGACTTTGGGTTCTGATAGCGGCTTAGAATTGATATTGTTATACATATATGACCTAACGCGATACTACTTCCATGAAGATGGAATGGAGCCCTTGTATTTTTATTTTTGTAGATGAGATATCCCTTTTAATGAAAACGTCATGAATGGCGTAAATATTCCGAGTACACTTTCACTCTGTAGAAATAAGTTATTGGGTCATTTAAACAGTAAAAATTCTAATAATTGTTAAACTGAACCTAGTCTATGATGGATTGTAATGTTCAAATATATATATATAGACAGGAAGAGAGAGTGTGAACATCCATCTATCATCTCCACAAATAAATAAACACAGCCTACTTTCACCCCATCCCATCCCATCCCATCCATCATCCATAGACCCCTAATTCCCCCAAAAAATCCCATAAATTCCCAAAAGGCCAAAAAAAAATAAAAAATAAAAAATAAACTGGTCAGAGTGAACCCCAACTCGCAGAATGCAATGCGGCTTCTGTGGATCGAACACAGTGCCTCCAGATAGTACAGTACTTTTATTTTCAGTAGCTGCAACAGTAACGGAAGTTAACTTCAGTCTGGCGCTCTCCCAAGTGAGCTAAAGCCGCTCTTTGGGGGGAAGTGTGTGTTTGTGTTGTTTGATGGGATTTATGGGTGAGTTTTGGTATATGTTTTTGCTGGATAGGTGAGTGGGAAGGTTTGAGGTGGAGGTGGATGGATGGATGTTTGGGGGGATAATCAGATAGGTAGGTAGTGATTATTATTTTTGAGTGGTTTTATCTGTGATTTTTTATTTTGGGGTGGGATATATATAGTAATATGGTTTGATTTGATGGATTGGTTGGTTGGTTGGTCGATAATTATTATTATTTGTTAAAGTGAATGGTTCCTGCGTAGCACGTGCACAGGGCACTAGTCCTATTAGGACTAGATTGAGAAGCTCTCTGTAAGAGAGCTTCGCACTTCGATTGATTGATTGATTAAATTAACGTCTACACTGAGTCTATGACTATCTAAGACGGCTAGGAGCTTTGTAGGCTTCTAACAATAATACATGGGGGGTAGCTGGCCTTATTTGACCGTAGCTAATACAGGTTGGGGAGATTGAAAGCCTCAATCTTCTAATGTTTGAATGGGGGAAGTGAAAACTAATACTAGGGAACCAAGCCCGCAGCTTCGCACTTCCGTAGAACTTAGAAGAGAGATTAACCTACTAGACCAATATTACCTCAGTTCTGCCCTATCAGCTTCCCACTATTCCCTGTGTGAGATCATTCCTTTTAACATTATTCATACTTAAGAGAAGAAAGTGTTACGAGGTTTGCCGTCTAGATCACGTGGAAGTGCTCTAGGCTCTCGAGGTGGTTTATAACTAGGCGTCAAGCAGGGACTTAAAGTAATGATAATAATGATATGCAATTCGTAACTAATAGTAGGATATACTAAATGATTGATCTTGAGCACGAAGCTCTATACAAAGGAAATCCATCTTGGTTATATAGACCTTCATGCTAATCGTCCCCTTGGTCCCTGTTACAACGGCTATCTTCTATGCCGCGTCACATGACTAAACCAAGGTAACGTGATTAAAGTCACGTTATGGACCGCTGAGGAACGCTGGCTGTCCAGGACCGCGCAGCGGTCCTGACTAGCCATAGGCATGAAGGTCTATATAATCAAGATGGATTTCCTTTGTATAGAGCTTCGTGCTCAAGATCAATCATTTAGTATATCCTACTATTAGTTACGAATTGCATATCATTATTATCATTACTTTAAGTCCCTGCTTGACGCCTAGTTATAAACCACCTCGAGAGCCTAGAGCACTTCCACGTGATCTAGACGGCAAACCTCGTAACAGGATACTAGACTTAATAAAGTTACCAGGCAGCATATATGGCAAGAATTTGAGAAAGCTGGCATGAAGTGATTGGCTTTGGAGACGATCCTAATTGACTTTTGAAGGGATACCTGGAATGCAATTATTTAGCCTTCTATCTCTTCAACTGCACAATTCGAAACATTAAATGAAAGTTATACACGTCTTTTCATGCTTATAGATGAATGCAAAGCTCATCCAAAGAGAGCGTCTATCACTTCACCTCTGATTTCTACATCTATCAACTTTAAGGTGTTTGTAGTCCGGACAGCAAAACGGACTAAATGTTTTGAATTGAATGATCCAGCTTCAATCCATTAATGAATTAAATAATCTATTTTCAATCTTAAAACTTTCCAATAAACCGGACTGCAATTTAAACGAACCCAGCTGTTGCCCAAAAGTGACGCCACTCTTGAGGAGTGGTTAATTGGGTTCATATAATCATTCTTCAGGTCAACACTCCCCCTCAGGGATTGCCGAATCAGGATATGCCATTATTTTTGAGGCTATTCCTGGATATGATTGGCTGATCCGATCTGAGTTGATTGGCCGGATAACATAGTCCTCTGCCTTTTACTGTCTAACATTTTTTCTAGACTCTGGGGCATGTATGCAAGAGTAGGGTTCTGAGAGCATCTGATTGGCTCTACCCCTCTTCAGAGGCTTGTTCCGTCGAGGTGCATGGGGATCGCTCGCTTGGAGTTTAGGAGTAACTCTCATTGGATGCGATATAATCGATAATGTAACTTTTTACTGAAGAATATGATGATTGCAAGTTGCGCTGGTAGTGGAAATTATAAATGATACCACTGGACCATGGGACCGCAAACCGGGCTCATAACTGTTGCCCAAAAGTGACGCCACACTTGAGGAGTGGTTAATTGGGTTCATATAATCATTCTTCAGGTCAACACCAGCCCCTGGATTGAATACCAATGCTATACAACGTAAATATTATATGATTTATCATATAGTAATTTGAATATATCGCACGATCACATGATGTCAATGTGATTTTTATATTAAAGTATCATATGATATTACTATTTCTTCCAAAAATCCGGACTGCAATTCAGACGCTTAAATATTAGACTAACTAATTCGGACTTTTTATATTGAAAGTCCCCCAAATAATCTATCTCGTCCAGTAAAATCATAGACCAACCGTCCAGACAGCCATCCGGAGGGATTACGGGAAGACTATTGGATATATTGATCAAATTACGGGAATACCCAGTATAATAACGAACGTATCTAGCCACTGGTGACAACTGCTGTATAGATATATAACTGCTGTAGTGATGCAGACATTCGTTCAGCAGTTCAGTCGTCCGCATCTTCATAATATTGTTTGTACTGGCTTTAAATGGTGCATCTAAGCCGCATTTTCGTACCTCAACTCTCACATCAACCCGCAACTTTTCACACAACAGCTTCTTGAGTTCTACAGAGAGCTCAATAGTCAACTGCCATTTCAACCACTCATTGGATTCTGTTAGATATGGCTCAACGAAGGGAGACTAAGAAAGCACCGCCTGATGACCAAACCGTTCATGATGAAAGACTTGCCTCGATTTTGGACATGACTTTTGAACAGCAAGTAGACTTCTTGGGAAAGATGCATGAAAATGACCTAAGAATGAGTAACACGAAAGCTAAACCAAAAGCACGTAAGTTTTGAGTTGATTTCAACTGACCTCTGCCATACTAAAAGAAACCTCTAGAATTTCAAATACAGCCTGACGAAGCCCGTCTAGCTAAATTACCAACAGAAGTAATCTGCCAGATTGGGATTGAACTAGCACATTGTGGATACCAAAACATAGTATCGCTGGCGTTAGCTTGTCACCGCTTCTATCCCCTATTCTGTAATGATATTGTGCGGGTACATATGAAGAATCTTACCTGTCATTTACACAATTGATACTGGCCCGATGAAGCAAGTTGGCAATCGAGTCGCTAATCATGGGCTTGACTGTCGATATCGACCACTTTGGCGTCTTCTAGAAGATTGGAGCGGTCTTCATGGATATCGATACTGTTTCGGACGACATTCTAACTGCTGTTCGATAATATCCCAGCTATTCTTGAAACCGTGCACGTGGCCAATCACATTTGGTTTAGGCAGACCATAGTTGCCTTAGACAAGGCTTCGGGTAAAGCATCAAGAAGCAGTAGACAGGCAACTTTGCAGATTACTTTCGAGCGGGCTATTCATTAGATGGGTGCCACAAAATATTTCACGTCATCGCACAATGAAATTTCTGTATTCAGAAGTAGTACCAAGCACGGAAAGAATTGAACGCGAGTTAGATCGACAGACGCGACACTGCTGGGCAAAAGAAATGATCCTGGCTTACTCTGAATGGAGGAATCTCAGTGGGCTATGATCAAGATCAGGGATGATTTAAGGTTCTGGGTACGTACTGGAGCATAAAGAAACATGTTCTTAGGTGGAAAACATGAGCAGAACGAGAAATGTGGTGATTTGGCCCTTATGGTCGGCCGTAAATAATAGAACTTCGCTCAAATTACAGAGCAAATACAAACTTGTCTCTCTTTATCGGTGAGCCGCAATGCAAAAAAATGATCTATGGCACATACCCTAAGAAAGCAAAAAGTACGTACATGAAGTATATTCCTTGAATATTGATTATCATTGAAGGAAAAGTGGGGCCAAATTCGATCAATAGTATTTTCTAGAAGTATAATGATACTTCTTTGAAGTACTTCAAAATGTATTTTAATTTTATAAATTTAAAGTACTTTTAGTAAGTATTATTGTACTTTCAGGTAGATCAATTGAATTTAAGTTTTTAATTTTAAATTAAAATCATTAGTTTTAAACTAAAATTGTTAATATTGAATTTAAATCCTTTTAAAATTATATATTTAAAATAATAGAATTTTAATATAATTCAAGTATTCTTGTAGTGTAGTGGTAAAGTGAATGATCTTTGAAGAAAAATATTGTCAGAAAATATATATATAAGTGATTGAGAGTGATTATAATTAAAATGAAGGTGATTAATAATCGAAGTGAATGACCTCACTTTTGCCGAATTAGGAATAAGGTTAATATGTATTTCCTGGATGTACTGTACTCCCTAGATGTACTGTCCTTCAAAATTTTAAGAGTCTTACTTTTGGATGTTTGTCTATATAAAGATATATACATAATATACATCATGTATAAATATTTTCTATACATCAGTGAAGAAATGTAATATACATCATGGAAGTACTTTTTGCTTTCTTAGAGATATACACATATTTCTACTAGTGTAGCATGGCGCACTTATCTTTTCACTAAGAGTGTATGGCTAGAAGGGTGCCAAACTACAAGCTTCCACATTATACTTCCTATTTTTAATATGGCGGACAAGAATGAATTGTGGGAACTAACCTAATGTCTTTGTCCACAATAACAAGACACCAAAATTTGTACTCAGAGGAATGGCTGAACATATGATTCTCGCTTACCCCTAAATTCATTGAAACATAGTCATCAATTCACAAGCATCAGAATAGATCAGAGAGAACAAGAAGCTTCAAGAGGTCCAGCACTTGATACACAATCAAATAAGAATAGTCAGTAAATGCTAAGCATTTGGCTGAATCTTGGTTGAAGATCACTACCCCCTTGTGGTCCGAGCTGCTCATACGTTCCGTCACGTAGTAGGATTTGCACTAGTCTCGACCTCAACCATTTTAGTGAATTTAAGCTAGTTTGTTTTGTCTCGATCTTTGTTTTGCTCTTATTTTCTCTTTACTTGCAACTACATTGATGAGGACAGATTTTGCTTTGAAGCCTGATTTTAACAATTTGTTAGTTCTCCTAGCATTGTCCATAGAAGGGGAAAAGAACTGATGGAACAAAAAGCCTTAGGAGAATTAATGTTTGCAAGAATCATCTGATTGGAAAAAGGGTCACTTTTAGATATGTGATGGTGTACGAGGTTTCAGTTTGTGGTCGTCTGCTTCACAACACATTTATTACAATCACCTCAAGATTTCATCTGACTCGGAAAAATTCGTTAACTACCCGTTTTTCGGCCGCTTTTTATTCTGAGAAGTTTATGGTCCTACAAACTTCCATGGACCCTGGAATATCGTAGCGCTGCAGAAGCTGAAGCGAAGATATTCCGACTAAGTAATCTATGATGTCATCTATCTTTGCCTAATTGGCTTACCTTCGGAGCATCCTCATAATCTTGGGGAGGGTAGGTGGAAAACTGCTGTTGTAGAAATGTTGGAGCTCGTGTTTACTACAATAGATAGATCAGCTTCACTACTTGAGATGAAAGGGAAAAGATCCTGCTGCCTTCCTTGGCGTGGTTCACTTGTTGATTCCTTTTGGTGAGTGGATTAAGATGGTGGATTTTTGATAGTATCAGTATCAGGGAATGGGAAAGAATGAGATGTTACTTCAAAGAAATACTTTCCTGTGGTGATTACTTCTAAATATCGAACAAGGAGTTGATCATTTTGTTGGCAGGACACAATTAATAACCCTACCATAATTAACTACAATCTAGACGGAGATAAGTGAACAGAAGATGAAAACTAATGTAACAGATGATTACGAACTTTGAATTGTTGAATCTACTTGAATTATTTAGATGGTTTAAAATATTAAAAGCATGAAGATTCATGACAAATGGAATACTGAATTATAATATTCAAACATTTGACAAGTTACACCTCATCTGCCCATCTGGACTGCTCAACCTCTGAGCTTTCAAGTCTAGAAAGTTGATTTAAATCACATGGTGCTCGATACTTGAGGTCTATTCTTACGGATGAAGACGAGTCTCCAGCCTTATTACTTGATTTGCTTGACAAATTCGCCACTCCAACACCGAAGTAAAGTAAACTGGAAATCCGAATTTGGCCTCCATAACGTTTAAATTGAACCTATAGTACATCCATATAATCTAATGGACTTGGGGGGCTAACATTGAAGTATCATAGCTTGATATAACACCGAAGTGAACTTAACTCAAACGTTTTGATTCATGCCGTTGCCTGCCTGGATAGACTCCAGGAAATAGACTTGCTGTTTGAGCTCTGCGCTCTGCTAGCCAAATAACGCACTCCTCATCAATGATATCTCCTTCATTAACAAAACATAAATCTGCATAAATAAGTATTTGGGAATTCGCTTTATTTCTACTAATAGTGTAAATGTCGGGTATGTTAGGTTGAATTTCATCTACAGTAATCGGTTTGGGCGAGACGGACTCCCCGCTTTCCCCGGAGCGAAAATTGAATACTATCATATTAGGGAGCGGTATTGGGATAAGTTCTATTCCAGCTGCTCTGGGATGTATAGGTAAATGTTGACCTCCTGGGATCTTGGCAGCATATGCATATATATTGCATGATGTATATAAGGAGCAAACAAAACTCAACTTTTAATTCATTCTTTCCTTTTTGGTATACTGTTTGTTTGCTTTCAATATTTTGATTTCAAAGCACTTTAATTCCGAAGGCTGAATACCTAACCCTATTCCTTCATTTTTTGAATATATACTCGCAGCTTAACTGCTTAGCTAGAGAATCAATCAATTCAATCTGATGCTCTTTCTGGTCTCAATAAACCCAATAGTAAAGCTTAATATTGCCAGTAAGCTTCTTGCAGGTCCTTCTCAAGTTGTTTCATTAACATTACTCTCCACGGCTTCAATACATGTACGGTGAGCAAAAAAGTAAAAGAAATATTGTGATGTACTAATAAATGGTGCAGGAGTGAATTTAAAAGCCTTAATTTTCAGCTGTGGTACAGGAATAACGTCTCCTGTTTTATCGTACCTGAAGTTCCATTTACTTATAGAGCTAACCTACCAACTGTCTTGCTCCTCCTTTTTTTTTCATCACAATCATGGGTCATAAGTTTCGATGATTACTCAAAGAACAACATAGTGTTTTCATATTACTTTCGATCTCATTACGATCATTCAGCACTCTCTTAGTCACACGGCGATATCAACAACATAATCCCAGATCCTCATCATACTTGTTAAACGATGGATTGCTAAACATCGAAAGTCCAACGTTCCAACGCCCAGGAAGATGGTAACAAAGGTGGCATTACCCGTGCATCTAGGCCCGGAGCTACAGAACAATTGGGTACCTATTTATTCGCAAGACGTTGATTGACACTAGCTAACAAAATGCCATTAAATTCTTCATTCGAAAAGCTACCCACAGAAGTTATCCGAAGAATCATGCATTTTCTCTCGGTTTACCACATCTCCATCGCATTCACATGTCCCCGCATGTATAAAATATTCAAAAATGTGCATCTGCAGCCTCTCAGTCTTTACAGCGAATGTGTTCAACCTCACGTTGATCCTGCCAATAAGAAACGCATGCACTTAAAACTTTTAGAGTACGCGTGGATCATGAGAGTGTTTGAGCCAAAGGACTATGTATTCGAAGTACTGACACGCGAGTGTCAGCGCATAATTAACAATATAATCTATGGATATCGTTATCAATACGATGGTCGATTTCTATGTCGTCCATACTATGACGATCAAGGAAACTGCAGAGATCTGAAGCATAGGTACCAAGATTACGATTTCTACACCCGGTGCTGGTCTAATCGAATGCCGAAGGATTTTCAGTATCCGTACCCATACAATAAAGGACGATTCACTTATGAGACGGAAGTGAAGGGAGCTATTCATGTACTGTTTGATTCGATAGATGATGCAACTCCTCAGAAGTACAAGGAACGCATAGATTTTATGTGGAAGTTCCTAAAAATTGGATCAAATGCGAAAGTGAAGGGCCTGGTCACTGCGAATCTATCTTTGAAATACTTTGGTCAGTGGAGGGAGATAATGGAATTTTGATTAAAAACTAAGAAAAGGCTGAGAGAGCAAAGCCTCGGGCTGAAGGTTTGTAGTTCCGTCTACACCATTTACATCAATGGCGCACAGTTTCAAAGGAATCATTAATAGGCAGAAGCGGGGTAGGAATGAGGTGCGGTATTATGCGATTAGTTTCATAGCAGTGAAGGAGATTGAATGATATTCGAAAGCCAATAACACTATTAAAAATTTCTATGCAAAATTTAAAGTCCTAACACAAAAGTTGGCAAATACTAGAGCTTGACTGATAACTCTAAACAATTTTTACATTCAAAAAATATTACTCAAGGCCATGACAACTATTTAGGCCTCTTTAGAGGATGTGCTTCCGTGTTGAGCACATACTCATCTAAGCTGATCAAGTCTGGATCGGCAAAAATAAGGTAGAAGTATTTAAGGGTTTCAGCCATCCAGAAAGACTCCATTCTATCAGCTTTGCGGGGATTTTCTGAGACGGTACAGTCGTCCAAAGCAGCATGCGCAATATCAGTGATTGTATGCTTGATAATATTGTTGAACATTGTCCAAGCTCGTTCTTGTAAGTCGGGGTCGCCAGTGATGCGATAAAGTATAAAGACGGACTCTATTGCTTCAGGTCTATTGAGAGTTAGATACTTTGCCAAAGTGACAGACATGGGAACTTTTACCTGAGGATATAGCGACCATCGTCAAACTTGGTGACTCCAGGTATGAGTCGGTGTTGTTGTATCTTTTCATTAACAGTCTCATTGCCTTCAGTATCCTTGTTGATCCCCTCCAGCCATTTCTGCTCGTCCCAGGGACAATAATTTTCGTTTTCGCAGGGAACCATGTGCATCTTCTCAGCCATGATGCCAAGTGGCATGTTCTCATAAGCCCACAAACATCCTTCAGTGAGCTTTCTCGCCAATTCTAAGTCTTTTTCGTTTTCAAATATCTTTGCACCAATGGCAACCATTCCTCCCGCAAAACAACCAAGATGCTGCGCCTCTCCTTGAGTCTTGAGTTCTGTGACCAATGTCTTACCGTCGCTATCTACATTACCTGGCAGACGAATATCCTCACCATTCTTTGTCATTGGCCGGAAGAATATATTGCGCCTCATTGCAATCATTGCATACTCATACATTCTCCTATATTGTTGAGTTGCACCCCCAAGTAATAAATGTTGCTATTAGATATTAGCACGTAATATGGGCTCTCAATGGATGTGGTTGAATCTCACCTTTGGCAAGTACTCATACAATGAATCAGCCATACCTCCAATAGTGAAACCCCAATAGTCTACAAAATTCTTGTCTTTTGCATTCACAATCACAGGCCACATTCCGGGCAGTTTCGACATGGATTGCTGCTCGTCAAAAATATTCATGATACGTTGAACTGCATCGTAGAATCGTGGATCACCTGTAATCTGACCAAGACGAGTGAATTCCAACGTCAATGAACCAATCTCAGATTCAAGAACATTGTCATCTGCTTCTTGTTTGGCTCCAGTGGCAGCAATGTGGTAGTACCATCGCAAGATAGGTAAATGATTGGGTGTGTCAAATGACTTGTAAAGCATTTCTCCCATCTCCGTCGCTTTCTGGAGTAGGACTGGATACTTTTCTCCACTTAACTCATAAGCGGAGAGAAAGCCGCCCAGGTATCTAATAGTTGTTTCGAAAACATTAATTTGCTCAAGAGCACAAGTACTGAAGTCAATTACTTGAATCGCTTCAACGGCTGCTTTGAATTGTGAATGCATACCCATGATCCAAAGTGTATCTAGGAGGAGGTTTAGTACAAAGGCATGAAGATCTGAGCTGTGTTACCGACCAAGAGTGTCGACCAAGCTCGCGGCCCATCCACCGAATGGATCCATTGATCCACCTGATAGAGGCATTACCTCATCTTTCAACCATGCATGACTAACATAGCCATTCCAGGCATGTGTGAAATTGCTTTTGACAGCTTCAAGTCTAGCAAGTCTCACCGATTTTTCGGTTTGCGATTCTTTTCCGAATTGATGTTGAATTCTCGGTATGGTTGTGGCGGGATTCGTTGGAAGAGGTATGAAATCTGTAACAGGAAAACTGTGTGGGACCTCGGACCATCGAAATTTGTTTCCTCCCTCTTTTGGAGCCGACTGAACTATGGGTTGTGTCCGATCATATGATTCTTGGTAGCGTTTAAGCGCGGGTCTTTGGTAGATAATAAGGAGAAGAAAAATTGCAGCAACTAGGGTCAAGGCCTTCCATCTGAAGGCCATAGTTGTTTGCGGAATAGTGCTCCCACAAAGACGTAGTTTTGATTATGAAAAAAAAAATCAAAGAAACTATTGTGAAGATTACAGATTACCATACGGAATACAAGAAAGAATGTTCAGAAAATGAGTAGCTCGGTTTTCATAAGAACGTGGGAAAGCTTAAGAGAGTACATCCCTAAATCTTGAAACTTATTGTACAAGGTTTAAGTTAAATGATGCTGAAATCCACTGGACACGGCTCAAGTTCAAGGGTCAATATGTACTCCGAAGGATTGGAAGCGCTCTAAACGGTTTAATGCGGGTTTTTGGGCGGAGCGACAGTGGATGCTATTTTATCATTCACTACCCAGGTAGAGTTAGTAGAGCAGCATTTTGTAAGCGCCATCAGACAGAAAAAGCATGCCCCCTAGATTGAATGGAGATCATTTATTGGTTAATTATCTTCGAATTCGCGGGCCATCATCTGGTTCGTTCGCTACCCGACAAACCCGCTTTGCCGAGAACAAGGGCCGGGTAAGCTAATCATGGAAGCTCGTAAGCACTGACCATACACATTCAGCTCTGAGAAATTTCAACATGTCGGCATGGGATGTCAGCAAGTATGAAGAAGCATTAGTGTAGAAAATACTCTCAAATGAGACGTTTCTATCCTTTAATCTGGAATGACCCACACATCAATTGAAGGCCGCCATGCCTTGTTGTCCAGGACTCTCGAGCTGCTGACAGGTTGTCAATGGACACTCGGAGGGCAGCTGAAAGTACATTATTCAAGCTCTTCCCTGATCTTTTGTACGCAGGTTTGTAATCTTTTTATATCAAGAACTTTTTATGACGACGTATGAAAATTGTCGAGACCGGGCACGTTTCTTTTAGACAAACGAATGGCAATGGAATTCTCTATCCTTAATTTTATTTTTAACATCTATATACTCTACGCTCTACCAGTCCGCGCTCAAACTGGCGTATCATCGGCCGTATGGGTTGTACCAGACGGTAACACAGCGGACCTTTCTAAAACATATACGGAGGGTATAACTCTTCAGGTTACTTGGAACTCAGTCCCGGAGGGATACAAATTTAATACACTATCCAATCTGTGGGTTACAACATGGGATTACGAGAACACACAATTCAGTCAACTGCTCACAGGTATGAATATCCACCGTTGACTGCGCTCCTCCATGTTTCACGTCCTATTATTCGATTTTACACTCTGTACATTTTCCTGATGGCTCTGCAATCCTTTAGAGAATGTGAACACAAACAACAGTGGTACATATGACTGGACAATTACAATCCCGGCGAAAATTCTTAATAAGGACGCAAAATATGTCCTCCGATTTAAGGATCTCAGCTCTGTGTATAACGCGAGCTCGCAAGAGGTCTCCAGCACTGGATTCTTGGTTATTAATGGAGGTTCTTCATCGTCTTCGACAATCTCTTCTAGTCAAACTTCTAGTCAAACCTCTATTCAAACATTTTCATCTGCTTCAAGCACAAGTTCCACTAGCACTGTAGCAATATCACCAGCCACATCGAGTGGGGGAATCGTTACGCCATTGGCGACTTCCTCATCCACACCCATCTCTGGGGACAATGACAACGGCTTAAGTGGAGGTGCAAAAGCCGGTATCGCTGTTGGTATCGTGGTTGCAGCTTTGTTAATTGCCGGATTAGCGTTTTACATTTTCAGGCGGAGACGCAATGGCAAAAGTACTTCTACCAGACCCCAAACCGACTTTCCTGCAGAACCTGCGGTCTATTATGATCCGCCAAAGCAATACTTCACCGGAAACACAACTAACGTAGTAGCTGAGATTGGTGGCCGTGAAAGAGTTGAGTTGCAAGGTAGCTAGGAAATTTTTTGGGAGACGCAGTGTGTAAAGGATCTGTATGGAATGCTGTTTATGAGCTCAATGATCGAATTTCAACATCGTTATATATGAAGGGAAAAGCGGAAGACTATGGTATTGTAGTCTCTTGGGACGATTGACAAAAGCCTTTCACTTGTCTGGTTCAATCGCGGTCTATGTACCTAATACTGATTATTAATTAATACGTGAAGATCTTTTTTCTTACCGCCGGACTCCCGAACCGAAGGAAAACTCATGAGTAATACAACACCGTTAGGGGAAGAAGCAATGTTGGATCCACTTAAGGATAAATTTGCGACCAAGATCAGATTATTGAAGTATATGCCATCAATACAGAGCGACAGTACAATTTGCGACTCTGGACTAGCTTGATCTGCCGTATAATACGGCATTTACTGACGTACTTCGATTCTTTTGAATACTTAAAACTCCAGCCTGCAAAACTATCCCATCCTTTCGCATAGAAGAACCAATCTTACAAGAAATCTATTTCGTCTGTGAAGAAGCAGAGCAGGTTAATCAATCTATAGCTTTAGTTTTTTTGCTTGGCACCTCCTATGCCACGTACATTTTCGTAGGAGAATTATTCCGACGCAGATCCGCCCACCATACACAACTATCTTAAAAGATAAGTTTCAGAAAACTAGAAGAATGACATCCAGGAGAAAGAAGGCGAATTCTCAACCAAAGCCACCAAGGAACAGAAAGAAGGGCCCTCCTGATATCCGTCCCAGCAAAGGTGGGTGATATACTACGTATTTTAAAGACTGTGTCTTTGCTGATTTTTCCAATAGCATCCAAAAACGGCTGCGAGCTTGGAGATTTACCACTCGAAATTGCATACCACATTATGGAACATCTTTTTTGGGCGAACTCGGTTCCTCTCGGCTTGACTTGCCCACAGATGTACGGCGTATACAAACGTTTATACCCATTAAAGATAAAGCTGCGACATGCGCTTGACGGCCCTGCTCGTTATAACTATTCACCCACACAGATTCCACTGTACAGATTGATCAATGGCTGGCATGGCCTAGGACAGGGATATGAGCTTTGGACCGAGGGGTTTTCATGGGAGCATCCACTTCGACGCAAGAGGGCTGTTATAACCGCGTTAGCTCCAGCTCGATTTGTTCTCGAGTCTGTATACCCACGGGTCCCCAAAGATGCCTCGGATGATCATCCTGGGAAAATCCTAAGAAGACGTCTCCGAGAAAGCTACGAAGACTACTACTTCTTTACGAGGCCGCACCACTATCAGAAATATACCTGCAAGCCGTTGCAAGAATGGTCCTGCTGGCCCATCCCTTGGGAAGGAGGGGACAATGCGGAGTTGCCTTTCGAGTCGAGTCATTTGCCTAACCCGTTCAATGTGGGCCTGCAGAATTGGGAGGAGCAAGCCAAAGGTGATCTTGAGCTCTATGGAGCTAGCTTATGACAGGAAGCATTGGAGATGGTATTGGGAGAATTGTTTGCTGTGGCAACGGAATCGCGTAAGCTTCCAAGAAATCTGGTCTTCGCGTCACGCCGAATCAGCTTTGAGTGCACTTTCGTAATGGACATTAATGATCGATTCCTAAGGGGGAAGTTATCTCGAAACGAACCAATCTACTACCAAAGGGTCTCACGGAAGATAGGAAAATGATATCAGACTTTATAACGTGTAATTTGATCCACATTCGAGCATGAATTATTTAAGACAGCTGTTCACTCATAAATGATGATAATCTTTCATTTAGTAGATAGCTCATGAACAATTTCATCCAATCTGATAAATATTTGTAGTATTGTTCAAATAAATTGTCGTGTGTGACTTTAACCATTCTAATAATATATATTTCAAAGTGACTAGGTTTTCATGATACCTTACTCGTAATGATAATACTAGATCTATACCTGAATCTGATTTATCTATCCTACAGGCTCACTGGTAATCAAGTAGACCAGCTGACCAATAGTCCGGACTGCAGTTAGATTTGAGATCTACAAGATCGTATTATCTTTTTGATCATCAGTAAGCTTGTCATAAAGAAATAGATTGAATGCTTGAAGAAAGTCCTGATTTTTGAATTCACCTTAGCGTTCAAAAATCTTTTCGTCTCTAGACTGCAGATGGGGCTGTCGGGTACAGACACAAATTTGCATGTTTGGATGTTCACGAACTCGTGTATCGAAGTAGAGCTGGGACCAACTTTAATGTCAAGATCTTAAATAATAGGTGATGTGAAGTAATCATTCACCGATTAGTCATTCAATTAGATGTGAAAATCTCGAATTTGATTCTTATATATCTTCATTGATTCCTGGGAAGTAGAATATATTATAATCTCTTTTATAACGGTGTAACGATACTGTACTGGAGGCAGCGGCTGCCTGAGGTTTCGTCTGGTTGGTAGTTGTGGGTTAAGGCTTTATCACTAGTCTTCACTTGGAAGTGAAGTCGTTACTAGATCAAGTAGAATGTAGGTAAACTAATTGATAACTAAGTTGAGCACGAAGCTCTTACACTATGAAACTACCTTAACTATATACTTCTGAATGTTATTGGATAGCCTGGATAGACTGGTCTACTTGGGCTATCCCCTAGACTGGATAGACTAGGCTATCCAGTCTATCCATCACGTGATCCTTAAAAGGCCTCAGGACACTAATCCTGGGACGATTCTGATCCTAGAATAATTGTGATTCGTGACACTAGTAACGACTTCACTTCCAAGTGAATACCAGTGATAAAGCCTTAACCCACAACTACCAACCAGACGAAACCTCAGGCAGCCGCTGCCTCCAGTACAGTATCGTTACATGACTGTTATAAAAGTTAATATAACTTGAATACTAATTGATGGTATCACTTTTGAGATCTAAGATTATATTTTTAGTCGAGGCTCGATGCAATTCGACTTCGAGATAAAACGGATACAAATTGTAAATAATCTTGATTAAAACATTCTAGATTTTACAATTATATTATTGATTAATTTGAACATAACAATAAGACTTACAATTTTCCAGGCTCTAACTCTAATAATATGTTACGAGGTTTGCCGTCTAGATCACGTGGAAGTGCTCTAGGCTCTCGAGGTAGGTTTATAACTAGGCGTCAAGCAGGGACTTAAAGTAATGACAATAATGATATGCAATTCGTAACTAATAGTAGAGTATACTAAATGATTGATCTTGAGCACGAAGCTCTATACAAAGGAAATCCATCTTGATTATATAGACCTTCATGCCTATGGCTAGTCAGGACCGCTGCGCGGTCCTGGACAGCCAGCGTTCCTCAGCGGTCCATAACGTGACTTTAATCACGTTACCTTGGTTTAGTCATGTGACGCGGCATAGAAGATAGCCGTTGTAACATAATAGTCGTGAAGTTGTGAAAGTTATTAATTATCAGAATTAGAATGATTTAGTGAATCAATAAAGAGGAGATTATAGCATTGCAGCTCTAATATACAATATTACACTTGAAGCCGTAACCTTACACTTTCTATAAAAATTTATCACACAAGCGTATTTTCAAGTAACTGAGCTGCTGTCGGTCCTTCTAAGCTCGGTCTTTATATGCTCCAAATTACCCTCTTCCGCAGCAGCTCCTTCCATTGCTGCTTCTTCGATTTGTAAACCGAAGACTGGCGATCTTTCAGAAAAAAACAGCTACCACCCTATTTGCACTGCCTTCGGGCCAAGTAGATGCCACGGGAATTTAGCCAGAATATTCTCTTGAACAAGAGGTGTCTGCAATACAGAGCTTCAGGAGATAAAATTGCGAACAATGGGATCCCCGTAGGCAAAATGCCAGACACGCAACAGGAAGAGTGTCTCGTTCGTGTTAACTGACGGTGGTTGAGAGAAAATAGGGGATCTCGGCAAAGCTTTGACCAATCGGTTCGAGTAGGTTCCCTTCAGACATCAAAGCAAAATCGACTCTATCAAGGAACCAGCTAGACTCCTCGACAAAAAGAATTAATTCCCAAAAACTCAAAATTTCGGGCGTTGCCCGGGATTGAACCGGGGACCTCTTACATGGAGAATCAATCAGTCAAAGATAGATAAATCCCTAAGCAAGAATTATACCACTAAACCACGCGCGCAATCTTTGGCTCACCACTCGGATCTACGATTTTCAGTTTCCCCGAACATCGCTGGTTTAAAACGGATCATGGTAAACCGTTCCTGCAAACGGAAACATTATATTCTCATTTGCGTAACACAGACTCTGATTTACCATTTTTTGTATTCAAGAATCCAAATCCTGAAAACAGAGCTCGGTCATTCCCCAGGGAGCGAGTCAGCTTTGATCCACAGTTAGGCACCTTTTACCTACAATTAGGTATCCTCTATACCGTGTTGAGGAAACGAGATTTGGTAAAAAGGCATTGTATCCATAGTTAGGCGTATTCTCATATCGAGCTGAAAAAATCAGATCATTTGTATCCACAGCTAGGCATTTTCTTATATCGAAGAGAGAAAAACTGGTTGTATTTAGTCATTTGTATCCAAAATGACGCATTTTTTATGCCATGTATCACGATAGTGATGGGAGTCACTTATCAATATCTTACATGTACTACCAAAAAGAATATCATGTTCTACTTTCATATCAATCACAGAATGGTAGACTACAAGAAGTTCCATGTTTAGGTGGAGTGTGACATACTTTTGGTCGTAGAGACGATAGATGACATGATTGACCAATGAAAGTTGTTAAAACTATACCAATGGTTTTTCAAAAATGTTAATGATTGGATGATATATTAATAATATTTTATGATTCTTTGTGTACGATCTATTGGTCTAAATCTTTGGTCGCAATTGTGGTCGATTTTTGGAGAGCGGAAACTTTGAAGACTTTCACTCAATCAAATAACTTCTTATAGCTCTATATTCCCATTCCGTCTTTTGTTGTAAAGCTTTCGAGGTATACAATTCAAATCGATATTTCCATCAATCAGGAATGCTGAATAGTAAAGTACCCGGAGTTTAAATAATTGATATGATTGGCTGAAGTACGCTACTGTGATATTCTCCTACTCAGACAATACGACTGTACAGCTGGATAGTTGTTGATTATATAAGCAACAGCAATGTTACCGATTACACACCGAGTGTCACTGTGGATTATATAATCTCAACTCACATGTGTGTGTGTGTTATTATTTAACGGCCAGAGGCAGAGGGGGCGAAGCCCCCCCATTCTCATGACATCCCCTATTGGGGCAAAGGCCGCCAGGGAGTTACTCCTGGGCTATGAATAGCTATGTACATATAACTATATCTAAAGATTGTAGTGATTCCTAGGCGCATTTCCGTAGCTGCCGTGATCTTATAAAGCAGGATGCTAACTCTTTCCCTTAATGAGGAAGATTACATAATACGAAAATCTGCCAAGCCGCAGCCGGTCCGCCCACGCCCCGTGACCTCCTTAGCGCTCCCACAAATAATTAATTTTTTTTTTTTAAGAAACATTACAAAGGAGAGTTATAAAGGAAAGGTTTTACAAAGGAAACAGTAAATTTATCTGGTAATTTGTTAGCGTTCGGGGTTGTTGTTATCCCTAGGGGGTTCGTAGTCTGATATAGGGCCCTCAGGGCCGGGGAGAGGGTATTGTCGAGGGCATATGTCAGTGAAAAAGCCATTGGCTTTCGTCCATCTTGCCAGCACCTCCGCTCCTTTGTATGTGCCGCAGAGGTATGGTATTAGATCAGCTGGTTTACCTTTCGGCCGGGGATGTTTTCTCTTGGCTATGTGACAAAAGAAGAAGTGGAGTGGGGATTTTCGGGCTCCGCATCTGCAGATTAGGTGGGCGTCTTGATGGTGGAATTGTTCGTGATAAGCTGCAAAATCGCCATGTCCTGAGCGGATCGCTAATAGTCGTCCTAGAAAGCTCCTCGGCAGGGAGAGTTCCTTGGGGCTTTTTAGTGATGTGAGTATCTCCAGTTCTTTGTATGATTGGGGGATCACCGTCGACCATAGTTTGTTGATTGCTTTTTGCCTGAGGCCTTTGGTCTCTTTTCTGAGTCCCGCATATGAGTAGGCTCCTTTGGGTTGTGGAAGGGCTGCGCCTGCCTTGGCTGCTTTGTCTGCGGCTTCGTTCCCTGCTACATCCTTGTGCCCGGGGACCCATCAAATGCGGACCGTGCCGTTGGGCCAGCTTGATGCTAGCTGGCGGAAAGTCGTGAAGGTCTCCTGGGAGGATCCAGTGGAGTTTGAGAGCAGTCTAGCCGCCACTTCGATGTTGTCTAGACAAATCCATATGTCCATTGCCGTTCTCGCCTCTATCGAGGTTATTGCCGCTCTGAGGCCCTTGAGTGCTGCTACTGCTTCAGCATCGTATACTTCCTTCGACTTTCCTAGTGCGAAGCTTCCTTCGCAGAATTTGCGGTTGTCTTGATAGCCGACGAAACCGCTTCCAGTACTGCCGTTTGCATGTTTCGACCCGTCTGAGAAGATTACGATGTCTTCTCGGGGGAGTAGGTCGTAAAACTCTTTGAAGTCGGCCGCGGCCCCCTGCTTGGTTCGGCCGTGGGGGCTGTGTATGCGGTTCAGGGTTTCTTCTCTTGTTTCACGATCGAGCCACTTGGGGGCTGCTAGGGGGTTGATCTGTTCCGACGCTGGGAGGGACAGGATGCGTTTGGCATACCGGGTTTTGAAGGAGTCAGGGTTCTCTTGGATCCATTCCGATCTCCACGCGAGGGAGTGGTAGGGGTCTAGCCTCCTGGTTCTGACTGCCGCAGCGCGGGCCAAATCGTCGAGTTCAATTTCGGGGGGTCTGAGTCCTGATTCCCGGTAGAGTGTTGCTATGTTTGTTGTTCTCCAGGCCGGTAATATTGCCCTGGCGCATTCCAAGGTGACCTTGCTTAGGTAATTGATGTGGCCTTCCACTTTGGTGGGGTGGACTCTGTCTGGCTGTGTTCTGCCTGTCCACCAGGTCTCGGCCCCGTAATATGCTCTTTTAAGGACGCATGCTTCAGCCGCTTGTCGTAATAAGTTGGGGGGGGGGGGGGCTCCTCTCATAGAGTTCCCTAGAGATTTGAGGGCTTTGGCCACCACGATCGATCTTGCGGCAATCTCTCTCGTATGCCATTTGAAAGTCAGTTTTTTGTCGAAGAGTATCCCGAGCCATCTTAGGTAGGGTTTTCCATTGGCTAGTTCCCTGATCGTTAGGTCGCCCATGTTGACTGTCGGGGTAGTGGCAGGATCTTGCTCTGTCCTGCGTTTCGAGAAGTGGAGTAGTTCTGATTTGCCAGGGTCGAAGGTGATGCCCTCCGAGGTGCCCCAAATTAGGATTTCATTGACTGTGGAGGTAAGTCTCTTGACGTTTTCGGACAGGGACTTTGAGGCTGCTACAATGGCTACATCGTTGGCGTAGCCGAATTTGATCGTGTCTTCTCCCATTTTGAAGATTGGGGCAATGTATAGCATAAAGAGGATTGGCGAGATGGGGGAGCCCTGGGGGAGCCCGCATTCAATGTTCGTTTTTGGGCCTGTGATCCCGTCCAGGCGGACTTGTACAGATCTTCCTGTTACGAAGAAAAAGAGCCATTTGACAAGGCCATGAGGCCATCCTTGTTCGTGGAGCCTGCGTATCAATCGGCCGGGGAGTACTGCATCAAAGGCTCCTTTGACGTCAAGCGTCAGGAGTGAGGCTGATTCGTTGGAGTTGAGGGAGTGCTCAACGTCATGGGTGAGGCAGGTTGTGAGGTCCACCGATGATCTGAGGGGTAGGGCGCCGAATTGGTGGGTGGCCAGCACTTTGTGGGAGATTGAGGTCCAAGACATTTGTCTGGCTATTAGGCGTTCAAGTCCTTTGCCCGGGACAGAGAGTAAGGCGATGGGTCTGTACGATCTCGGGGATGAGAGATCAGCCTTGTTGGGTTTGGGAATGATAGCTAGAATTGCGCTCCGGAAGGATCTCGGGTGGTGTCCGATTTGTATGCAGTTAAGGTAAAGTCGGGTGATGAAGGGCTCGATGAGTGGCCATGCTTCTTTTAGAATCGCTGTTGGCAGTAATAATAATAATATGTTACGACCACGGATCTTACAGTAACCGATCATGTGTTTACGAGATGCGATTCGATCAAATTTGTATGGGATTAAGGTCATGTGAGGATCTGAAGAGCACAGACTCTGTTATTATATGATTCCCACCGATCCCACCGACTTAAATCAAGTGGGGAGCGATGGGAAGGATTCCCACCGATCCCACCAACTTAAATCAGGTGGGAGCGATGGGGATGATGGGATAGGGGAGTACGAAGATCTATATAACTAGGAGGGATTCCCTCACTGTAGAGCTTGGTGCTCAAGATCAATCATTCAGTATACTCTACTATTAGTTACGAATAGGATACCATTATTGTCATTACTTAAGTCCCTGCTTGACGCCTAGTTATAAACCACCTCGAGAGCCTAGAGCACTTTCACGTGATCTAGACGGCAAACCTCGTAACATCACAATGAGATTATATAAGTTTTGACTTTGACTCTTTCGGAGCCAAAAATACTTATAGATTCGTTGTACTCATTATAATTATTTTTTATATGTCTCAAAACCTACGATTAGTATATACTGTGCAATCTATTAGACATTCATAGTGTAAAGCTTTTTCAACTTGATTAAACAAATTTTGAAACTATTCGGAGTTCACTTTTTTTTGAAAGGGTGGTCTGTGCATAAGATTGTGTGCTAAAATGTGGAGTAGAAGAAATGCCAAGGGCCGTGCGCCGGAACGGTATAATGATACTCCTGGGTGTACTCTTCGATGCTCTATTAGCTAACGAATGCTCATCGGACCAAATACAGTGGGGCGGCAATTCAAAGAAATACTATGTTGTGTCAGAAGAACAACACCTTCTGGATGCGAAGCACCAGAAATTAGTACATTTGTAGCAAACCTTCCTTCATATTACAAATACAATGCTTAGTGGTCTTATCAAAACTATCAGCAAAGGCTTTCATTTGTTCCGGAAATGCCTTTAGATTATTGTTGCGAAATCCCGGGTTTTCGTGATAAAGTACTGATGTTGCCAGAAACTCAGATTGAGCGTTAAAAAGAAAGAGAAACCAGGGCACTTTGATCAATACAGACGATTGTTCCCTAGCGTTCGGAGTTTTATGCACGAGAGGAGAATGGCTCTCAGCACACTGTTCCCGTTCTCCAACTTAGAAGACCGTTCTTGTGACGCAGCGACCCCTGCAGCCTGGTCCTCCAATGAGTAGCCAGAAACTGGAAAAAAGATAGAGCTCGATGGCATGTAAGGAGAATATTGAGCTTTGAAGATAACATCTACTATTGTGTCGAGTTCCTCCCTCGTTTGAAGCTCCTTTAACGTGTAACATGACATAGTCTAGGATTGGAATTGATGTAAAAAACATGGACTTTGAGATTGAAGGTTTCTGTTACATCTAGAATAAAATACAGTCTGTAAGGAAATATGTAGATCTATTCATTTTGTGTTCATTACTGTGATAAACTGAAAGATTTCGGGCGACTGTATTTTTCCAAATTAGCATCTTGTACCGATCAGCGTCTATACTACCCCACCCCCGTATTGAATTAGCGTTTCATGTACGAAAGAAAATAGCCATATTATTAAGCTTTATATCACTAATAACTACCCTGAATAATATTAATCCCTGAATCTATCGTACACAATGGCGGGCTTAGCTTGTCAATTAACGGCACACACACACACAGCCAACCAATCACATTGCAACAGTTAATCCTGTACTAACTATTGGAGTCGTACGACATCATCATTTGTGGAACACTCTGCCTAGTCACCAGTTTACCTGCCAACCGAACCTGGACAAATAGATGATCTAATCTAATTAGGTCACCGCTTTTGAAATAGTCTAGGGTTTAATAGGATGGAAAGGTACCTTGGTGGTGTAAGTTAATTTCGAAGGCGTTCGTAGCGCAAGTTTTATATTGGTCAGAACGGTAAAGTTAGGCCACCCAACCCACAATCAAATGCAGGTGCTTACATTAAACCTCTTTGAATTAAAATTATTTCTTATTTCTTATATCCTGTCATTTCAGACGGGCTGGGCTTAAGTGGTCCCCGCATTGGGTTTCGCGAATCATATATATATCCTACACGAGTCCTTCTCCATCGAACATTATCCATCACAACAATATGAAGGCAGTCTTTCTATAGCCATTCTAATTTTCCATTGCCAATTCGATTTTCCATTGCCATCTCGATTTTCCATCAACATTTCGATTTTCCATCACCATCTAGATTTTCCATCGCCATCTGGATTCTTCTTCATTCGCTGCCAAAACGCAATATGTGGTGGTGGTAACGTCGTCACTCCGGCAATCGACTCTGATGCGATCTGGATAATAATGGTTTTGTACTTCGCCATTTACTGTTTAGAACAACCCCCTTTACATTCAGTGTAGCGGTTGTCATTCAGCTTTAGTTGTTTAGAACGACCCCTTTTACATTCAGTGTAGCGGTTGTCATTCAGCTTTAGTTGTTTAGAACGACCCCTTTTACATTCAGTGTAGCGGTTGTCATTCAGCGTTAGTTGTTTAGAACAACACCGGTATGATATGTGATGATGGTTATATTCTTAATAGGACTAGCTATTGTTGTCATTATCAGGACTTTTTTCTGTAACACAGAAGCGCTTGCTATTATAGCTTGTGCGGGAGATGATAGCCTTAGCCTTATGCTTCGCTTGATCCTCATTGCAATGTCTGGCGTGCCGGGCATGTGAAGAGGATCCATGATTATATTCATCTATAATACTACACATTTATAACCTTGAAAGTCCTGATGCCACATTATTCAAGGATGGGGTGACTTTTATCAATAGTTAATATGAGCATTCTTGGCCGATTATGCATATGTTATTAGAATAGCCCTGGCACGATCTGTATAGTGATGTGGTTACGTTCTTTGACATGTATATTAATGTGAATCGCCCACCACTTCACCTAATAACATTTATTGATCATTCCTCAATCTGGTTTCATCATAAGCATCAAGGCTGTTTATAGTCTAGGTCATTAGCAATCCTACGTACTGTGTGAGGACCAGCATTGTTCTTCTCTTGTTAAATTTATCGCTAACTATGATTGTAGGAATTAGATCATGCCTTTTCAAGTTGAGAAACTCCAACTACAAACTCTGCTCCGCGAGAGAGTGTTTGTAACATGGGTGAATTCAGCAGGCAAACCTTTAACGCTAGGTTCTTGCTCGCATCGTAACAAGAATAATCCTGAATTTATTATGGAAGCAGGCTATGATATGGAAGGACATATTCATATTCACTTTTTTCTTACAGTGACTATAAAGTTTGGTGGCAAGAAACAACCACTGGAGATGTTGTTGGTTGTTCCGCCAAACGCCAACTTCGCAAACGCCCCATACCTCTTACAAAACTGAACGCCAACGACCTACCACTCCCCGATGACTTACCTCTGCCCAACGCCTCTGTACTTCACGAAGCCGGCATAAGCGAATCAGGACATGTCATTCTCGTACCATTCAATCTCACTGCGAAAGGATTCGTCATTATGGATAAGACTCCTCCGATCATTAGGCCCTGCAGCGGCAGCACAAACCAATTGATTCGTAGCCTCGAATCTCTATCTAACACATCCATCTTCAACGTATGCATCAGACCGAGTGATTATGCGCGGGAGGGTTTGAAAGAACTTTGCAAGCGCTTAAGCAACACTGGTGCCGCCACACACAAAACTGACATGAAGGAAATGTACCTTCAACAAGGGTCTATGTTGGCGGAATGGGATAAAGTTAAATATCATGATCGACAAGACGTACAACCGCCACCATATACCGATAATCCTGCTCGACCAGTACCGAAAGTGCAGGTTCCTCGGTCACCACCGATCACACTCGAAATGGAAAAGCTACCATACAACACTGTCGAAATGGTAATTGCAGAGACACCGAATCAAACTCCAGTTAACTCGGACCCTGCACCGGTATTGCATGGCATTATCTCTCCTGGCGCTGGAGAGCCGTCGAGCGACGGAGTGGACTTGAGGGATGTCGAGGGGGACTCGAGATGCATCGACGTGGCCCTTGACGTGGGCTCGGATGAAGCACTTCTTGCCAACTTGAATTCCCGAGAACCAAGTCAGCAACTCAAAGATGATTTGGCAGTTTCAAAGATGCTTGAGTCGAAGTTCGCGGATTGGATAACCGAAGCAATAATGATAAACCCAGAGGTTAACGACCATAAACGCTTAATGACTAAGTTATCAATTCTTGGGGATTGTGTTCGTACATCCAATACTCGAGTATTTGACGCTACTAGACCTTGGTGTTCCGCCATATTGCTCTACGACCCGTTCGATTCCGACAACACTATCGGGTTATGGGAGGAGAGAAACCGATGGCTCATTTCAGATATTGCCAAGCTGATTAAATGGGCTAACACATTTCACTATGGCGCCGAGATCAACTCGCTCTTGATAAATGATTTCGTGAAGTTAGGTAGCGTTGCTCGCAATTTCGCCCTGCACCCTGGAAATGACAAAGCCGAGTACATTCGTCAGAGAAGTGTTTGTGTTGTTCGGGTATGGACTGAATTTGGCAAGTCGAAAAGAAATATTAGTGGAGATACCAGCGGGCCAGGTTCTCGAAAACGGGATGACTTGGAAACTGACAGCAATATGTCTAAGCGAGCAAGAAATATGGTGTGAATGGCAATTCTGTGTCTTTACTCTCCTACCTCCTTACTCTTGTATACTTTCAATGCGACTTACTCTTTTTTTTATTTTTAATTTTGTGTTTCCTTTCTCGCCTTCCATCAAATCAAACATATTGTTCTTACGCTAGGCATCTATTTGGGGAATGCAATGCGGGAGAATGATATCGCTTCGTCCTTGACTGATTAAATTAACGTCTACACTGAGTCTATGACTATCTAAGACGGCTAGGAGCTTTGTAGGCTTCTAACAATAATACATGGAGGGTAGCTGGCCTTATTCGACCGTAGCTAATACAGGTTGGGGAGATTGAAAGCCTCAATCTTCTAATGTTTGAATGGGGGAAGTGAAAACTAATACTAGGGAACCAAGCCCGCCTTACAGATACTCTCGTATTCAAATAAGAGGAATAACAAATGAAATGTAATGAAATTTGACGTTGGGGTGATTGACCAAATTGACCAAATTGACCAAATTGACCAAATTGATCAAGTTGACCAAATTGACCAAATTGATCAAATTGACCAAATTGACCAAGTTGACCAAATTGACCAAATTGACCAAATTGACTAAATTGACCAAATTGACTAAATTGACCAAATTGACCAAATTGACTAAATTGACCAAATTGGCCATAATTGATCAATTCAATCACAATCTTCTGGTCGACCCCCTTCTTCTCCGCCTTCTTCCTCTTCTTCTTTATGCATTCTATTGAGATGCCATGATCTGGTGGCTATTCTCGTCGCCTCGATAAATTCGAGGGTCTTGATGATTCCTGCTTTAGTATGAAGTAGATATTTCATAGTAGGTTGGACTATGGGGTTATCCTTATTGAGGATTTTCCTTGTTATTTTATATAAAGGACAACTGAGCAGAAGATGATCAGGAGATTCCTTTCCCCTACATCTACAATTGTCATTAGAGGAGATACCGAATCATTTCAAATAAGATTTGAAGTATCCGTGTCCAATTTTGAGTTGGAACAGAGCACAGATTGTGCTTCTTTTGATGTTGACCTCCTGGGATCTTGGCAGCATATGCATATATAGTACATATGCATATAAGGAGCAAACAAAACTCAACTTTTAATTCATTCTTTCCTTTTTGGTATACTGTTTGTTTGCTTTCAATATTTTGATTTCAAAGCACTTTAATTCCGAAGGCTGAATACCTAACCTTATTCCTTCATTTTTTGAATATATACTCGCAGCTTAACTGCTTAGCTAGAGAATCAATCAATTCAATCTGATACTCTTTCTAGTCTCAAGAAACCCAACATTTGATGTTTCCTGGAACTCTGATTTTTGAGCTGATCTTCCAGGGGTAGTTTCTTGAATATGTTGACGATGGTTGATGAAAATTGTTAGTGTTAAGGATAGCTATCCAGTTCTCTGATTTCATTCTTTTTATATCCATTCCAATGGAGGTATAACTGGTTTCGTGAGATGAGGATAATATTTTGGTCGCCTCTTTTGCAAGAGAATCAGCTAGCTCATTTCCTTGTACAGATGTATGTCCGGGGACCCAATTGAGAGAGATTTCGGCTCCTTTATTTTGAATAGCTTCTGCAGCTTTTATTGCTTTGATTTGGCATGATTGACCAGGTAAATCGAAGGGGGTTTTCAACCGGAATAATCCTGCTTGATTATCTGAGTATATCTTGAACTTGTTTCCTCGTTGGGTTATTGAATTTGCGTATTCGATCGCTTTAGTAACTCCTAGGAGCTCGCTATTATAGACAAACTGATTCACACCTATATTGATAATCTCTTGATATGAAATTCGGCCATTTGGTAAGATGATTACTATCCCGACCCCAACCCCTATTCCCTCTAAAATGGATAAGGCATCGATGTATATTATAATAATATTTTTGCATCTATATTTGAAAGCCAGATTGTGGATCATCGCAGCTTCTTCTTTTCCTAATTTGCTGATATTGACTTTATATGGAACTTCTTTCTTCCAAGGAGGAAAGTAGAAGTGATGGATTCCTTCTAAAGTGAGAGGATCGAAGTCTTTCTGAATTGAATTTTTGATCTTTTCGAGTTGAGTAGGTTTTAATTGCTTTCTTTGAGGGGTTGCAACTACATCTTGATTCTCCTTTTCTGTAGCCAGCTTTGTAGCTACTAAATTGACAGGATGAGAAGGCGAGATTTTCAATAATCTAAATGCGTATTGTTTGATTCCAGCATTTAGCTGTACTTCTGGAGGGTACAATACGGCTTCTATTTTCATTGGTTTTATTGGTGAGGTTTTGAATACTTCTAGGATTTTTCGGAGGGCGAGGTTTTGCAAGGATTGAAGGATTTTCTTGAATTGGTTTTGCCTTTTCCACCATAAAATTGAACCGTAGTCAGCTATACTGGTGACGTATGCTATATAGAGCTGTCTCATTGTCTTGGGACTAAGGCCTTTTTCAGAATTAGCAAATCTAGTCATTCGGTAGAATGAGGTTTTAGCCTGGGTAGCTCGGATTGTGACATGTTGTTTGAAACTGAGGCCAGGGTCGAACCATATGCCTAGCCATCTGATTATTGTTGAGGGTTGAATTATCTCCTTGTTCGGAAGCTTGATTGAGGCTGTCTTCGTATCTTTGGATGTAGAGAAGTGTATTAGTTCCGTCTTCGCTAGATCAAATTGAATAGCATTTTCTTTGCCCAAAGCATATATCTGTTTAGTTGCTCTTTCGAGGGAGATGATGTTCTTTTTCCAAGATGTTGAAAATGTTGTTAAAGCTATATCATCTATATATGAGAGATATTTGATTGAATTTGCTAAGAATAGATCTCGAATATAAATTAAGAAGAGGATTGGCGAAATAGGACTACCTTGGGGGATCCCGGTATTGATCGGTTTGAAGATTTCAATTTGGCCATCGAATAAGAGCTTAAGTAGCCTTTCCTTCAAAAAAGATGAGATCCAGGCGATTAGGCTGGTTGGGAGGTTTAGGTTCTTGCAGATATCTAATAATTTGTTCATAGATATATGATCAAAGGCGCCTTTAACATCCAGAAAGAGAGTTGAGGTTTTCTTCTTGGATCTTGAATTTCTTTCGATTTCGGTAGTGAGTAAGATTGCTGTATCGATGGCTGATTTCTTTTGTTTTCCACCCATTTGAGAGTAATGAAGTAATTGCGTAGTCTCCGCTAAGTAGCTAAGCCTTTGAGCCAGAATTCTTTCACTTATTTTGCCAAGGCAATTTAGTAAGGCGATAACTCTATAAGCTTTTGGGACCGAGTAGTCTGGTTTTGAAGGTTTCTTGAGTATCGCTCCAGTAGCTTGTTTCCAGCAAGAAGGATAGTAACCAAGGTTGATAAGATGACTGAAGAGGGTGAAGAATGCTTTTGGTATTGCTTTGTACGCTTGAATAATAATATCTTGAGTGATCCCATCGGGGCCAGGGGTCTTTCCTTTGATTTTTGCAGAGCACGCGTTTAGGAGTTCGCTCTCTGTAAGATCAGGCCATTCCTATTTCTTAGATTGTTTATAGCTTTCCCAATTGGGCGGTGGGGTGAATGGAGGAGGAGGAAATAGGGTCGATCTAAATGCAGAGCATTTTCTCTCGAAAGAATTTTCTAGTTTAGAGGGATTAGATCGAATATTCGGGATTCGTTCGGTTTGTATATCTTTTGTGTATGATATTGCCTTGAATTTGGATTGGGTATCCTCTTTTTCAAGGAACTCATTCCAATAGTTTTTCTTTGCTGTTTTAATAGCTTGGAAGTAATGATTCCTGGCTGATTGATAGATTTTCTTGAACATATCGTCTTCCGGGTAAAGTTTGGTGTTCTCAAATACATTAGAGAGTCGTTTTCGAAGGGCTTTCAGCTCTAGGGACCACCAGGGTTTAACTCTTTTTGTGGACTTGATTCTCGGTATACTAGTTTCAGCCGAATAAGTGATTATTCGGATGAATTCTTTTGCAGCTTCATCCAATACTTGTATGTATTGGCTCTTGTCGAGAAGGGAATCAAGAGAGTTGGATTCTGAGATAATGATATTAAGGTATTCATTCGAATTTAAGGTGGTTGATATCGATATTTTCGATTTGAGGGTATTCGCGAATTTTTCCTAATCCGCAAGTTTTGTGTTGAATCTTGCTGGTTGAGCTATATTCGTTGTTCGGGATAAAGTGCCCTTTACTTCAAAGAGAATACTTAAGTGGTCTGATCCAAGATCAGGGAGGACTTGCCAATCAGTAATATAGGGAGATACTGAATCTGTGGCTAAATTAAGGTCTAAGACACTTGGATTTGTCATATTTGTTCGATAAAAGGTGCTTGTGCTTGATTCTTTAAATAGAATGAGATTGTGATCCTCAAATTATTCGGTGAGTAGGTCGGCATTTGAGCTTTTGTTAAAGAAGGGGTCCTACCAAGGGTGATGGGAGTTGAAATCTCCTACGAGGATGGTGTGATGAGTAAGAGGGGTATTGTAAAGGCATCTTTCGATGGTATGGCCTTTTTCTTTGGCTTGATCCGTTTCATTGTAGATATTGATGAATTGTATTGTATGTTTTCCTTGAGTGATATCAATGATTTGAATATCTGGATCATTAAGGGAGTTGGGAGCTAGGGCTACTAGCGGTTTGAATCCTTTTGAAATGTAGATCATAGTTCGGGGATGTAGGTTCGAAGGATTATTTGGGAGGAGTTGAGAGAAGCTGGAGTGGGCAATAGATCTGGTTGAGAAGAAGTCTTTCTCAGGATTCGAGAGGATCCAGGGTTCTTGAATGACTATGAGATCAATTTTGAGTTCTAAAGCAAGTTGGAGAGTACTTTCGGTTGCTTAAAGGCTTTTGTTTAGATTGATTTGAAGAATGCAAATATTGTTGTATAGCATTAGTTGGATTTCTTGATAATTGATAGATATACTTCGTATATTTTCGAGTTGGCTTTATGTTCTCCTTTATAATTAATACATTTGACATTTAGATATTGATATGGTTTGCTTTTTGCTTGGCAGATTATATAGAAATGACCGACTGTAGTATGATTATTATTGCAAAGTCCGCAAGTTGGAGGTTTTTTGCAGTATGATTCGTTATGACCGAATCCCTGGCATCTGTTGTATTGAGATGAAGGAGAAGATGGATAGAATCTTTCTACTCTAATATTAATGCCTGTAATATATAGTTTTTTCTGAATAATTATATCTGCTTCTTTTTGTGTAACAAATGCAATGACTATTGCTTTGTCTTGTTGTTTGGCTCTCTTGAAGGCATTAGTAAGCCAGTAAGGAGTACCTATGATATTGAGCCTTGGGTTGAAGGTATTGACTTCCTTTTTGCTTAGGTCCATACCTTTCCAGACCTGGAGAATTCCCTGAATTGGGATTTTATGATATATGCCCTTCACCGCTCTACTCAGCCCTATATCATCCTGTTGTAGACCATAGATTTAGGTA